CAATCACTACCCCAGGGCTATTCCAGCAAATGATGGTTCATGTCATCTGATATGCCTAAGCAAATTTAGGAGTGTACACATTCTATAGCAAAAATGCCATGTCTCGAATTCCTAGAATATTGCATAGGAAATGAATAATTTATTTTTATTGCTTTTAAAGTAATAATAGAAAAAGAAAATTAATAGAACAGAAGAATAATTGTAGTGTAGATACATACATTCTCAAAAAAAGAAACAATGCATAAAAAGTGCTTTTTTAAAAAAGTGAAAGAAAAACAAAAAAATACAACAGAAAAAAACAATATAGCATTATTAATATTATTTGATGGGATAGTGATTATTTGTGGCTGTGGTTTGGTGGTTATTTTTGGTTGTAGTTGTGATTGTAGTTGAGGTAGTAGCTGTAATAGTTGCTACTGTTCACCTTGATGACCCATGAACCAAATCTGCTATGAATCTTATTGTGAAGTATGCAGATGACACGGCAGTGGTGGGACATATCCGGGATGATCATAAAGATGCTTATAGGGAAGAGGTGAAGTCTCTGGTGGACTGGTGCAATAAAAGTAATCAGGTTCTAAATGTTAGTAAAACAAAAGTGATAATCATAAATTTTAGAAAGAGCTGGTATGGTCATACTCCACTCAGTATCAAGGATGCAGCTGTAGAGGTGGTCAACAGTATTAAGTATCTGAGGGTGCAAATAACTAAGAATCTGAACTGGTCTCTCCACATGTCATTCATTGTGAACCCTGCAAACCAACATCAGCATTTCCTGCATCGGATGAAGAGAGCACATCTTTCTCCTTCTGTCCTAGCCACTTTTTACAGAGGCACAACTGAGAGCGTTTTAACAAATTGCATCACTGTTTGGTTTGGTGGCAGCAGTGCCTCAGATAGAAAGTCCATACAGAGAGTGGTAAGGACAGCCAAGAAGAGTATAGGGAAGTTCACTTCCTGTTATTCAGAATACTGCTTATAAGCGCTATGTGCTTAGAACTCGAAGCATCGTTAGAGACCCCACACACCCACTTTACAGTCGGTTTCTGTTGCTCCCCTCTGGGAGGAGTTTTCAAAGTATTTCTAGCAGGACTTCCAAATTCTGTAACAGCTTTATTCCCTATGCCAGGGGTCCCCAAC